GAAGTCCACATTTCTGAAGACCAGATGGTTTTCAGAGATGCTGTTTTGCAGTCTCTGCTCGTTATAAAACAACAACAGAAACCCAAGAGGATGATTGCAAAGCAAACAAATGCCTGTGCAGTCTGTCTTCTCCAAGGCTGTGCCATTTTCAGTCATTGTAGATGCAAAGTGAATCCAAATAACCACTCACAAATCACTAGTGACTCTGGTACCCTGCTATCTACTAATGGAAAAGGCAGCTGAAATTCCTATTTTTGTAGTGTTTTTTACCATTTCTTTTAAATCTATAAAAGTGCTTGTAGGTACATTGCGTCACTGTGGGTTTTAGTGATTCAGTACCAACTCAGAAAGCCTGCATTTGGCTGTAAGGATGTTATCTGAATGATATTGGATAGGATATAGTCTAAACTAATGATGAAAAAGTAGTGAATAGATGTTCCCTGGCTCTCTGGCCTGCCCTTGTCAGCACTTTGTGGTCCTTGTCGTTGCTTAGGAGTCGTGAGGAAGCAGATTAATCCAGGGCAGCGGGATCAAGAACTTCCCTGGATCTTTCAGTCTGTCCCTGAATGGTTACATGTTATCCTGAAAGCCCAGATTCTTCAGACAGATAGGACAGAAAGACAGAAGGATGCTCACGACTCCTGTGCCTGTCCTGCTCTGTATCAGCTCCCGTAGGCTGGCTTGAAGGGAGAGGGGTCCTGAACACTTATAACTGGAGTGAGAGTGAGAATTTGGGACATTCAGAATGTTGGATCATAAATAGTTGAAAATTCCTCATTTCCTTACAGGAAAAAGACCCACTGCTGCTTCCCAGGCTGCAGGGAGGCTGGTAACTGATGGGAATAGGAATGACATAGAAAGGGGAAGCATTTCCGTCTTAGAAATCTGGTGCTAGTGAAACCTGTGCCTTGTTCTGTCTGGGATGACACTCTTCCAGTGTCACAATCCAACAAATTCAGAATCTTAATTAATTTAGTGAAGTGCAAGATTACAGAGCTAAGAACACATTGTAACTATCTGGTTGCCACATAGAGTCATTTCATAGTGGAATTAATATTAATAGTGTCTTTTAAAAACAGCTTTCCATAACATAACATGTTTGGTTCTCTTATACATACATGTTACGGATGTAATATATATAGGCCTTTAACTCTGAGATTCCTGTGTTTTAAGCTCTTTCTTGATGGACAGTCCTTATAAATGCATTTATCCTTAATTTAATGATATTATTTGTAGTGCTTTTTAATGTGATTTCTCTACAGGAATTACAGCAGTAGCTGTATCTGGCAAAGCGTAGCTTCTGAACAAAGAAAGATCTGCCCTTGTTAAGAACTGGAGAGAAGAAAGTTTCTGAGGTCCTTTGGCTTGCCCCCAGCACACTGTAGTGCAGATGGTTAAACAGCGTGACAGGGCTAGAGTCTGAGAGCTGTGTCTTATGATCGTCTATTTGTCTACCACCTCTTTGATGTCGTAGTGGTATAGCAAGTATTCAATAATTTACATACTGTAGAATATGGCCAAATATAAATGATGCATTATTCTTCCATTTAGCCCCATCTGAATTGATTGATTACCAAATCTTCCCTTTGTCATTTATCAGCATTGTGATTATTTATACCTTTTGCTGAGTTTACAAAGTAACCCATCAATCAAGCAGCTGAGCTGCACTTCCCTGATTTATAATGGACATCTTAATGATCAGTACCTGATCCTTTTAGTATTTATTTATTTATTTTGGTCAACACTGAGCTTGGAAAGAGTAGTCAGAACACAGGAGGCTAAAGCTAAGGCTGGGAAAGATGACACCCCCCCATTTCACCCCTCTTTCTTTGCATTATTGACTGTTATTATTGTAATATTTACTTAAAAGTGTACCACAAAAAGTCAACCCAGTGCTGTTAATTTTAGTAATGAGATCAGTGGTGCCCAGGAAGCCACAGGGGATGTTCAGGTTCCAGTGGAAGGAGCAGAGAGCTCTGCCTGACCATCAGTGCTGGGGCAGGGGCTGTGGACCAGGGCACACCAGCTTCCAGTGGTCTGGGTGGCCCATGTACCCAGAGACCAAGCAAACACCCCAGGGCCCTGCCTGATGCCTGGTGATTCAAACCAGCGGTGCAGATCCACTGACTGAGGTTGCTCTTGCTCTTAGACATTGGGATTTTTTATCTGTTGTAAGCTGGTTTACAATTTGAGTGCATTTCCACTCTTTATGTAGGGTGAGAGCTAAGCACATTCTGCTGGAGACACTGGTATACCACCAGCCTGCTTTATTCCTTTAAATCCATGTAAAATCCTTCTTTACCCAAATCATCTCTCTGGCTTTCTCTGCAGTTCAGGTCTGGCTTTCTCTCCCCCATCTCCACCACCCTCCTGAGCTGACACTGTTCCATAGGAAGCCTAAAGAAGGAGATAGGCCAGACACACCAAGCACTAAAGTCTTCCCCAGTTAAATCCTGCAATCCCAGTTCATTCTTTTGAGTGAAGCAGGTGACACGAGTGATGAATTTGAAGCTAGTGAAACAGAGAACATGGGGGTGTTTGCTCTCCTAAACATTTGAGTAGGAAAATTATTAAAATTCCTTGAATAGAGAAATCATGGAACAGGTCCTTTCTGGCAATTGATAGCTTTCATGTTTAATCACTATTCACCCCTTTTGTGGTTTGGGCTCACCTAATTGCATTCTCATTAAGAATTGCACTAATATTCAGCAGCGCAGCTGAAAAGTGGGGAGATGTACCCGGTGTGGAGCTCTTTGGGCTTTCCCCCTCTCTGTTATCCTTACGAGCATTTGCTGTGCTAAAAGCAAAGCAGATTGAGCATAAAAACCTGAAGGTCATCCATACAGTTGTCTCAATAGCAATCTGTGTGACTTTAACCCTGTTGAGGAAAAGTAATTACCCTTTGGCTTCTGATGACCTCAACTAACCTTTGTTGAAGGACCAGAGAAAATAAAGGCTGACCAAGAGCCTGCCCTTCCTGCCCTGTGGTTAACCTGCTCTGGGAATGAAGAACACCCTCCACAATAGAATGGGAAAATGTTGCCATGGAAATATCATTGGAAGAAGAAACAAAAATCTATTACAATTAATAGTGTTTTATTAGGTGGCTCCTATAGAACTGTTTAATCCATGGAAGTTGCTCTATCTTAAGATCTGGGGTCAGGAAATTTCAGGAGGAATAAAAGCGGGAGGGAGGAAGGGGGTACGGCGTTAAAAATTCAGGAGCTGTTGACAGAGCTGGGATAGTTTCCATGAGATAAAAGAAGCGATTAGACATTGCACACTGTAAGTATGGGAAACGGGAGCAAGGAAGAAATGCAGGTCCAGTAATTGCAGGTGATAACCACCAGCTCTCCAACTGGTCAGCAAGTGTGTTGATCACAAGCACTTTGGGTTTGTTCTATAGCAAATAACAAGCTTCGTTTTTCTTGTCGCATTTCTTTTCACAGCACTGAGGCCTTGCCTAGAGATCACCAGGTTATCTGCAGAGTGGGGGCTGCTTTTGTGTAGCTGGTGTTTTGCAAATCAGGTTCTACCATGCTTTTTTGGTTTGAATTTTTCCCCTCTTTTGCTGTTTATTCCATCTGACACCTCGCAATACACATCGCATTTGGTTAAATCCGCTGCTCCCCTTGGTCTGCATTAGGCTGAGGCTGGTGCTGTTCATTACCCCAGTCAGTGGCAGTTTCAGCTGGGTCTGACAGTGTGCACATTTTCACAAGCAGTTTAGCAGACCCTAACAAATATCCCTGGTTCTTTGACCACACAAAGCCAAAGACTGGGAAGACATCAAACCCATACGTATTGCTGATGGACAGCGTCGCAGTTTCTAAGGCACGATAAAGCATTTCAATCAGGTAAACTCTGTGACATTTCCTTATTCATGTGACAAATCACAGTGGTGTAACTGATGTAGGAAGAAGTTTTCAATGGGGGCTTCTAAACAATTTTAAATCATTGTATTGATTTTAAGAGAAAGGAGCAATTTCAGCACGTTCGTTTTAAGACATCATTCTGTGATTCTGTACTAACAGACAGTCGTATGCATCCTGGCATTGAAAATGAATTCAAACTAACATGTTTGTTACAACACCAGCCTCCTTTTTCTGGTCTTGTTGCCAAAGCACAAGTTTTGAAAATACTAAGAAGGTATCAAGTGAAATCCTTTGATTAGTATTACTGATAATCTCACTGTTGGTGTAAATGGGAGCAAGCCTGTGCCCTGACTGTGCGTTTCTTCTAATCAAAGCTGAAAGCATGCGAAGGAAATGAGTTGCAGTAAACATGGTATTAAAGTCTTCTCCTTCTTTTACAATGGTAAATGAGATATTTTTTCCTCTCCAATATTTTTATTGTCAGCTTTTATTAATGCAGCTCTGGGTTTTCACCCTGAGAGGACTCGTCAACTTTAGTTTCAAATGGTAACTTGAGAACATAGTAAGCTGGTAGAAACAAACACTGATTTGTACATCAGAAAGACTTGGACATTAAAATCATTTTCTGTATTGCAAATACGGTCATTTTCTTCATTTTTCCTAATTGTAACAACATTATTCCGGTTTTAAAATTCCTTTGCCACTTGACATTTTGAGCACAGAGTACACTACGTCTGGGTGCAGAGTTGCACTAGTGATAGTGCACCCTGCCCTTGGTTTATAACCCATAAACTTGTCTGTCGCTTTAAAGTGAACTGTCTGCTCTATATACATGTACAACTGTGAATTGTAACTGACCAAAGCCTTGGGCAGATTTCTTTAGCTACCTGAGCTTGTATTTCAAGTTACCAAAGCAGTGTAGGTCCAGCGAGAAGACAACATGCTTCCGTTCATTTTCAGCAATGATTTACATCTCCCTGGCTCTGAAGCATTGTTTGCTGGTGTAACTCACCTGGTCGTGGTGCTGTGGAGAGCTGGTACCTGTTCTGTTGATCTTCCCACCTTTTCCCTTCTGCTGTTGCCAAGGTTTTCATGGTATTCCCTCTCCATTTCCAAATGCCGTAGGTCCATGGATTCTGGCTGAAGCTCACAACAAAAGTCAAGAAAGTCATCATCATCCATGGAGTTTCTGATGCTCTGTTGAATAAAGAGAGAGAAAAAACAGGAGGAGAAGAATTACAGTTGTTGCTCAGAGGTAAGCCTCTTGATAACCTCCTCTGTCCTCAGTGCTTGGAGGAGTTTGAGAAACCCCCTTAAATCATATTATTTCTACGTTAGAAGTTGTTAAGGCATCTTCACTTGTGGACTGTGTTCTGTCGTGCTTTAGTTGGTACATGGGCTGCATCTCTTCCCCTTTTAGCTTAACATAATTCTAAAGCCTTAAGTATTTTAATTTATTAAGATTTTAATTTGTGGGATTCATAAAGACAAAGGACTGAGGGGTGTAGGACCCTTTGGTTGTTCTTGTTGTTCAGGTTTGCCACAAGAAGAATTTTCTGACTGAATTCGGAGCGAGCTGTATGTAGTTATTCTGCTTTATAATGGGTTCCACACTTTCATTCTCTGAAATATATTGTCTGCCATTGCCAACTGAATGGGAAATGAAATAAAAACTCTATTTCTAGTGTATTATTTTGCTGCATTACTGTTATTTTGATATGTCCATACAAGTGTATGTTCTGCTAGGCACAGTATAACTTATGTGAAAGAACTAGGGAGGGAATATCAAAGCAGAATAGTCAGAAATGTAAATTCAGGTGCAAAGTCTGGTGACATACAGTGACATTCTTTAGAAAGCAAGCCCCTATTTATACTGCAGTTAAATATTGGCTTTGTATGTTCGTTGTTATTTTCACCATAAAGCATCCACATGCAATTTGGTAGCTACTGATTAACCTCGCCAGCGCATTATCAGACATACATTGGGGGAAGTCAGAAATGGAATGATTTCTGTGTTATTCTGACCTCATACATTCACAGACATCTATAAAACACAAAGCTTTTAAACATAGCACGAGTCTTAAAGCTTTAATTGATCTCACGTTGCAGAACTGGTGTATTTAACTAGTGGCCTCCTATTGTTCTATAGCATTATCTAAAAATGTTATGCCTTCCAAGAGGAAAACTGACAATCCCACGGGTTAAATGTTGTCCAAATGTTATAGAAAGAAAAGAGAATCGATTCGGTCATCGGTGGTAATTGCAGCAGAAATATTAATTATAACAAGATTACTTCTCAGCAAAGTGCAATATTGAAAGTACTGAATGAACGTCTGATTCTCAGAAATGTAAATACAGTCAGAACAGCCAAAGCCTTGCAAAATGTGTACAGGTTATTTTAAACTAGACAGGAGGTGTTTTTAATAAAATCATCTGACATTTCTGTAGCACATTACTGTCACTTCAAAGTCATTTTACTAGATATTCATTAACAGTACAGCAGTAAAGCATCGAAAATAGTTTGGATAAGTGTTTATTGGTAGCTGCATCACACAGACACATAAGTAAATCTTTTAGTTTGAAGGTTTTGATTTTAAATCAACAGCAGCATTAGATATCCTAAAAGTTACCACAGTCATTAAATACCTTATAGTGCTGTATCCCTGGTAATCCAATTTACACAACTACATCCTCAGCAGAAACTCCTGGGGTACACAGTAGTTCTCTTCAGTAAGCCCTTCCTGCTTTTTCTTGTCAGGAAGCAGTGATGGTACAATTTTATCCTGTTGATAATTTGACTCTCTTTAAACTAGTTCTTGTTGACCCACTGGCTTGGTCTTTATTAGGGTGGAGGTAGCTGGAAGACTGAAGGACTGCAGACCACATTCTTCTTTATTTTTACTGTACCTTAATATTCAACATAGCATCATTATTCTGAGGCAAAAAGAGAAAAGCTGGTCCATCAGATAATTCCACACATTGCAAGTCCTTCCTCTATGTCCTGCAGTGCTAGAGAAGGGGATTATTGCTGCAGAAGAAAAAGAATATCTGGCCATAGTGTAGGAATAATCACTGCAGTCCAGCTCACCCCCACACCTCTTTCTCTCTCCTTCTCTCTCTCTCCCTCTGTTTGAGGCCCCAGCTGATTCAGTCTGCATCCATCCATACATAAATCATTGCCCTTATTCTATTGGTTACATGGTACATGGCAAGTATTGATTTTTTCCGTTGCCTCATTGCTGGAGAACCCATGGTTTTTGTGAGGCTGAAAATGCAAAAATTTTCTTGCTGGAGATCTTGTCAAGGTACAGAAATGACAAGGCAGGAGGGTGCTGCTGTAAGGTTTGTGAGGCTGAAAAATCTTCCCCTTCTCTGTTCCACTCTACTGTGTCCCAAAAAGTCGGGGCTTGTTAAATCACTACTGCGTTAGGTAGGCTTATGGGCTAAGCAGCAGGAGAATAAGCAAACAGAAGCAGGGCCTGGCTGTTCTGAGGGAGGCATTGCTTAATTATTCCAAGTTTAATTAGGTTTGAAACCGGAACAAAAAGCCAAAGAATAACGTGAAAATAATGCCATTTCAAGGGAAGGAATGAATCTGAAGCACAGGAGGGTAACACGCTGAGGAAAATGGACATTTGTTTCCATCCTGCATAGCACAGAGCTGGAATATTGTGCTTAATTCTTGAGGTAGGTCTTCGTGGCATTTTGAAACATGTTTACTGTCCCCTTAGCAGTGTGATTGCTGCATCCAGGTAATTTTCCTCAGCATTCAAAGCTGCCTGGAAATGTCTCACAAAAGATGGCACCTTGTTTCCTCAAAAAAGTGTTTCTAAGGAATAGGAAGATGAGGTGGTGAGGCAGGGTTTGAGCTGTTCTCCTTCAGTAATAGAGGATTCCCTGGTATAAGACTCTCTCTTACTAAAAGCCTGATCCAAAGCACACTGGAGTCAACAGGAATGTTTTCATTGACTCTGTAGGTGCTGGATCAGCTTCAGGTTACACAGAAGCCAGTATTCTCCCTTTTTTTTTGATCATAGAATCAATATGTCAATGTGTCAATACTGTTACTTTCCCCCATTTTGCAGAGGAGGTGGAATGGCTCAGGATGGTGGTTTATAGGTGGCTGTAGAATATGACTATATTTAATCAGATCTGTTAACACTGTTAAATGAGATGTATTGAAATGTGTGTGTATTTTCTTTAATGCCTATAATGCAAAATGTGACCCATGCCCACCCTGTGCCATTCCCAATCACTGTGTTTTGCTTCTGTGCTGGTTTATTGCATTTGAAAGCCGCTGCCCACTCTTCCTTTCACCTCCACTATCTTTAGGCTCCAGTGTGCCACCAGGTGCTGTGGGCACTCCATTGAAGTCATTGCACCTGACTTCTGCCAATTGCACATCCAAAGCAGGTGACATTTTCTATCTGCTGCGTGCATGCAGATCAAACACCTTAAACAGAAATACAGCTTTAGAGCTGTCGTGTTCCTGGGGCTATAGAAATTGAGCACAAAGCTAAAATGATCAGTAAGGATAATTTGTAATGCGCTTTCTTCCTCCAGATGCGTGTTACAGCTGATTGGAATATGCAATTGAAAAATAAAGAAATCAAGTAAGACCAGTGGAAACATGAATTTCGGATTCAAAATCATTTCTGTCCTTTTTGTTATGCCATCAGCAAATGAGCTGCTGGCTTCCCCAGGAATGTATCACTGAAAACTGGGCCTTTTGTCTCGCTGTAAAGCATAACTTTCCTACTGCTTTTGTATGCACACAGGCCAGCTCTTCATTCTATTTGATGGTAACTTTGGTAGTAATTGGAATGAGAACCCTCCTTCTGTAATCTTTGTGACAGTGACTATGTATAGAAGGGTTCGTTATGTGTCTCTGTATTACTCATTCAAACCAATTTTCTGATCTAAGTTCACTCCTTTACCCTTTAGTAGTAAAAAGGGAGGGTCATTTGGCTAAGTGAGGTATCCTTTATCAGCCGAGCACCAGCAGTTCAGTGGTTATAACACAAAGAAGAAATACTAAAGAAAAGCTAGTCTAAATTTGAATACTGCCAAGTGTCTTTCATTGGTTTCTTACAGAGTGTCAGGACACAAAATGCTTTCAGAATTCATCCCAAGCTTTTCCCAGGCTTTTAGGACTCATCTTCTGTAGGGGCATGGTTCCTTGTACATGTTCTACTGCAGCCACCCAGGCTGAGGTCTGGGCTTTCACAAGGCAGTTGGCCTACCTAGGTTAAAGCAGTTCTGCTGTAGTCTGTGCTCCTCTTGAAGCAAGGTGTATTTGCATCACAGCTCAGGGTGTTTTGGTTGGAAGCCTGGCAGACACTGCACACATACAACAGAGAAACAGGTTACCTGTTCCTCACCATCACCACTCTGTGGTTTTCCTTTTCTTTGAGATGCTGCACTGTGTTTGCTGCCCGTCTTTTGTGTGGAAGGATGGATGCTGCGCTCAGTGTAGCCGGCACACGTGCATCACACTGGTCCCCACGGTGCTGACTCAGGTACTGGCTGAAGTAGCTTTTTAGTATGGCTTGAGGAGTTCACTTGTCAAGGGAAAAGGGCAGTCTGACAGCGAGGCAAGAGCTGGTCTCATTCACTGGGGATTTATAGCAGAACTGGCTGCAGAAATCCTGTCTGAAAGTTCCTGATGTCAGAGTGCTAACTCTGGAAAGCTTAATTGTTCCCATATCAGAGGTTATTGTGTGAGGGTCAGAACACCTTAGTCCTAGAAAGGAACATGAGTCACTCGAGAGTCCTGCAGCAGTCCTTCCAGTGTCTGGGAAACCATCTCAGTGTTGCCAGGGTTTTCCAGAAGAAAGTGGAATATCAACAGCATGGACCAACACATCATCCTCCTTCAGATATTAGAGCAGAGGCCATGCCTGCTGCTCTGCAGGGAGATGGGCAGTTACAAAAAGTATGATTGGATTTTGTGGAGCCAGGCTGAGAGAGCTGGGCTGGGTCAGCCTGGAGAAGAGAAGGCTCTCGGGAGACCTTATAAAAGCCTTCCAGTACTTAAAGAGGGTCTGCAGGAAACCCGGAGAGGGGCTTTGGACAAGGGCCTATAGGGACAGGCCAAGGGGAATGGCTTGAACCTGCCAGAGGGGAGACTGAGATGAGCTCTTAGGCAGAAGCTCTTCCCTGGGAGGGTGCTGAGGCGCTGGTACAGGGTGCCCAGAGAAGCTGTGGCTGCCCCATCCCTGGAAGTGTTCAAGGCCAGGTTGGACACAGGGGCTTGGAGCAAGCTGCTCCAGTGGAAGGTGTCCCTGCCCATGGCAGGGGTTGGAACAGGATGAGCTTTAAGGTCCCTTCCAACCTCAGCCATTCTGTGGTTCTATGTTTCTTCCCACTGGTCAGACAGCCCCAGAAAGGGA